TGGTCGATATAAACGATGAAGGGCCTATTTACTAAGCGATGTACCATAAACTTAGCCAGTGCATATTTCATGGCAAGGAGTTCCTTGTCATGCACCGAGTAGTTACGCTCAGCGGTTTGCAGCAGACGCGATTGATAACAGACGACGCGCTCAACGCCTTCTGAGTCGTACTGCATTAACGCGAAGCCGATTGCAAAATCGCTGGCGTCACAGACCACATGGATTGGTCTGTCCTGGCCTGAAATCGCCAACACAGGTGATCGTATCAAGCTTTTCTTGATACCTTCAAAGGAGTGCTGACACTCAGCACTCCATGACCACCTCTCGTTTTTCTTTAGCAGACGAGAGAGATGTACGGTCATCCCGGCGTAGTTGCGCGAGTACTTGTGCAAGTACGCCGCCAAGCAAAGAAACTTTCGAAGTCCCTTGACGTAGACTGGCACAGGCCAGTCGCTAATCGCCTTAATCTTTTCCGGATCAGGGCGAACATTGTTTTTACTCACGATGCAGCCAAGAAGTGGTATTTCGCTCGCTGCAAATATACACTCCTTGAGATTTGCAAACAACTTATGCTCTCGCATAATTGTAAGAACCTCCCGGACTTGGATTCTATGATTTTCCGCATCTGTCTTTCCATCCATAGCCCGGCTATGGACAAAGACACCGTCAAAGTAACTCGGTGCGAAATCGCGCACCGATCGCAACAGATTCGTTACACATTTGTTAAACGTCGCAGGGGCTTTGCTTAGCCCCTGAGGCATCACCAGCCACTCCTAGAGCATACCACTGGGGGTGATCACTGCTATGTACGGTATGTCTTGTTCAAGCATGACGATCTGATAGAATCCATCCATCCGATCCATGGACGAAAAGATGGTAGTTTTTGCCATACCATCAATAATGACGTCCTTCCTCGGTATCGGCGTTTGAGCCGATACCGTTGCAGCGTTCAATTTGTTGAATGCGTACACCAACCGCCACCCTCATGTGGCCTTTCGCACACAGAAGTTCGGAGAGCTGTGTGGGGATGTTGATTCCTCACATGACCAGCCGCTAAGAGATCGGCAAAGGATTTGTCGATCGCTGTGACATGCTCACGAGGCAGTGGTCACTGCTTCATGATGCAGTACTTTGAACCGAATTTCAGTTCGATCTCATGTCGAGTGCCTTTGTCCTTTAAAAATTCGAACAGTATGAATTCAGGATACACATCCATGTGTTTGATCAAATCCTTGTATATAGAATTTACCAAAGCGAAAATTAAGATTGAGACGTGTACGCTCAATCTGGGTCTTCTCAACGAGGAAACTCTCGCCCATCGATGAGCAGCAGAGAACCCGTTCGTTCTCAGTAAACACTTGTGCCGACCGGATATCGGCGACGTATTCGTCCTATGTGTCGAGTTTGCAGATCTGCTGGATCTTGTCACTACGCAGATCTCTCATAAATCTTTCAGATTTTAGCGTTGACAACTAGATTACCTCCGAAGCTGACTTCGGAGGTGCAACCAGATCAAGTGTACAAGCGCCTACATTTGATCCGCCATTCACCAAGACATTCACTGCCTCGGTGATTGCCTGGTAAAACACATCCGCAGGTGGTTGGGGATCCACACCCTCAACATAACTCTCTTTGGATTTATCACTCTGAGAAATGTTGGAACTTTCTTCCAATATGTGTTCTTACTGTGAGTGTACTACCACATTCATGTCCTCTTCGATCGGCTCTCTTTCAGTCGATCAGGATTGTTCTACGATCGACTCTCTTTCAGTCGATCTTGTTTTAACACAATAATTTTATTTTGAGCAAAACTAATATCTCGCCTTGGATGCACCCTTCTTGGTGTGCATCCGTGTTCCGGTCCTTTTGACATTTTCAAGTGGTGAACCTTCGGCGCAGCCTTATCTCTACACAGGTGCCGGAAGCTGGTTCCACAGTGTAGTGGCCTTCTATACTGTGATCTTGTGCAGTCATAGTAACGACCGTACCACACGTGAGGTCATCGCACTCACTCGTAGTACATCCACACGCTTGTGGACGCTCCAAGACGTTGATCAGATGGCCATCCAATGAACAAACGGCAGGCATCTTCGCAGATTGATGCTGCCAGCTGACCCATCGTCGGTACTGTCTGAGCCATGACATACCAAGGATGACATCAAATTTGTCATCAAAATCTAGTACGATGAAGTCGTCATCGTACTGCTTTCCTCCTAGCGTGTAGTATATTTGCACTACACATTTTTTTACTGCTACGGATGCTCCTGTAGCAAGGCACACCGTCATCCTCGTTGGGGGGAACTCTCGCTTAATATAGCTGAGCCTGCTATACTCTAGCACTGGCGTCGAATAAAACTGTTCGATGCCCCACAGTCAACAAGGGCGCGAAGTGACATTCCACTTGTCACTTCGATCTTCAAAGTGATGAGGGACTCCTCATCACGAGGGGCAGTAACACAAAGCGACTGTGTGTTGGGAGCAATCTTCGTCAACAGTCCTGCAAATTATCTTGACGTTGTTGGATCAGCAGGGTGCTTTGCCCCTACTGACCCTGTCTGTTTTCGGCGGTCCGACTTGCCGTCGCGGCTTAGCGACATGGTAGGACCCACGCCTCGGGCCTTTCACTGGCCATCGGCGGTCATCACGGCCTGTCTTTGGACGTGTTGCAGTGCTTATGGCACTACACTCATGAGCGTAGTGCCCAATCTTCTGAAAGCGATGGCATCTTGCCTTTCGCTTGTGACTCAGAGAGCGAAAGTTCTTGCTCTCGGTGTAACAGAGGTCCATTGGTTGGGACCTCCTATTTCCTGTCCTCTCGTTGGAAGATAGTTGACGAGTTAGCCAGAGACTATCTTAGGCTGAAGTCTTCTTGCTCCGCATATGATATCGCCTTTTCCAGCGTATTGTGTTCTCTCGGATCATGTAGGTCTTCACCGGCTCGTCTACAATGCCGTAGATGAACACGTTGATGAGCGTGTGCTCACCGAAAGGGTTTTCCGTAACGCTACTCGCAAGGTAGCGTAGGTGCTGTGCGTAAGCGTGCACGTCACACTTACCTTGCTTTAGCCTCAAGAGTGCAGAGCGTGCTTTGCGCTCGGCTTTCGGCGGCTCAAACGTCTCTTTGAGCCGAGACTTCAAGATCTTCAATGACTCAAACACGTTTGGGTCGTGATGATTAAGCCCTAAGGCCCAAGTATTTTCTCGCCCTGTCAAATTTGACAGGGCAAAGGTGACTTGCATCTCGTAACCCTCGATGTGACGGGCCCTAATGGCATCGTCTAACTCGACGAACCATCTCAAGAGGGAATTTCATCGGTTCCCTTGTACCTTGAGATATCTATCTTCAACGTTTCGGGTCGACGCATGTGCGTCGGCCCGCCTACCGACTGATGAGAGCCTTGCTGCTGTAGCAAGGCTATCGTCTGTCTTTCGACGGCAAGTTTCCCTTGTAGGAACTTGTTGATAGCAGCATGTTGCTGGTCTCTGTTTTGAGGCTCCAACATGCCTCTAATGGCGGTTTCGCCTATGAGCACACTCATGTGGCCGACTATCTCCCATTCCGATTCACTCAGATAGGAGTAGCCTTCACGTGTGACGTAAAAGCTGTCGTCTTCTACGTCCAACATGTTCATGTTGGACGGACACTAAGCATACGTTGGACGGACTACAAAGTTCTACCAGGTGTAATGGGGCATCCTTTTTCTGGGTGCCACGAAACTTCACGTACACTAGCACGTGCAGAGGAAGCTATTCTACCCAACAACTGAGCTTGAGTAAAGGGCAAAACGAGAACTGTATTTAAGATAGTTAAGCTATCAACATAACTTTAATATTTATTTAACTATGTTAAACTACGTCGTCGTATGACGATAACCTGATCACCACTCATTGCGCGCGTCTAGCAGCAATTCGTGGTAATCTATGGTTAAAGTGTTTTTTATCAACCAATCTTTGAGCAGCGCATGAATGTTTTCCTTAAAGGGGATAATATTCCTTCAAATTTATCCTTTTGACACCATTTAGTGTCAACATCATGTAACGGGCTACACATGTTGTCCCATGATGATGGCGACGGGTACTTGAGCGGGTTGTGTCTTACTTCGCCAAATCTGGTATTTTAAACTGACGAACTCGGCTTGGGCTTGCAGCGGGGTTCGAGTCTGATGTAGTGAAATGAAGAATAAAAATATTGAGGAGGAGTATTAAACTTGGCAGGCAAATCTGGTGTAATCATACGGAAAATCTGGCGCAATCTTCTTGCGTCTGGCGCAATCGTCTTGCGTCTGGCGCAATCCAAGGATGTTCTCGCAGGTCATATAGATAGACCACCCATGTCAGCAGGAACAAGCAGTTGAGTTGGTTAGTGACGACTGTCTTGTCGTTTGTATGTAGAGGTGGACGAGGTGACGAAAGGAGAGCCAAGTGGACGTGGGTGGAGGAGGAACGTACCGGACGGTGAGACTTTCGCCCATACTTTTATTCGGTTTAGTGGCTTCGAGCGCTGCTGCTGTGGTTTCGAGTGGCGACTTTAGAGTGAGAAAGGGGGCAAGGAAAAGCGCTTTTTTTTGGGAGACATGATGAAGGGGAGGGAAGATCTCGCTGAAAAAAGTGAGCGACTTGTTTTTTTCTGTCAACTGATGTGTCGGACGCGGGGATGGATCTCTGCGGTGCCTTACATTATCTAGTGAGACCTTAAAACGATAGCTTTTTAAGCAATTCGATGATCGGTCTTGGAGTTTTGGAATCGCCACGAACCTAGAAAAATGGTCGATCCGGATATTCAACATTGTCTCCACAACGGCACCTTTCTCCGTACGCCTTGACCGACACGACACCATCTACCAGGAACAATCATATGGATCCAGATTATGAAAAACTCAAATCCACCCACCCACGCACCCGCTCTCTGGTTCAACTATCGAAACAGCTCCATCCGCCACCTATAAAAATATCCACCACCTCTAAAAACATCCATCACCAAATCCCATTTCGCGTCCGCCATGGCGTCGCGTCCCGACACCAGCCACGACGCCAACGAGCGCCGCGTGCGCCGCCTCCTCCGCGCTCTCGCTCTCGACACGGGCGACGTCCTGCTCTTCGACCGCAAGTGCTCGTCCATGGGCGTGTACGGCGGCGCCATCTGCGTCTGCGCCAAGCTCTTGGGCCAAACGCACTGGGACCACACGGGCGTCATCGTCCGCATCCCATCTGAAGCTTTACCTGCAGAAAAATCCAGCAAAGAAATATCCAGCGAAGAAAAATCCAGTGAAGAAAAATCCGATGAAGAGGACGAGCAGCTGTTCGTCCTGGAGGCTGCGCTTACGGGCGTCAAGCTGCGGCCGCTCGTGGCGCGTGTGTTGCGCAGTGGCGGCCACGACGTCGTGGTCCGGAAGCTGCAGTTCGCCCGGACTGTGGAGGTGCAAGCCAGGGGTCAGGAATTCGCACTTAGTGTGGTCCATGCTCCCTACGAAGACGAGCTGGCACGGTTGTTCAATGCGGGGGTGTCCGTGCCGACGAGACTTGCTCGGGAACGGCTGTTTGCTGCGTTTATTGCAGCGAAACAAGAGCTCGCGAGACTGGACGTGGAGCTCTTGCATCGGGACAAGATGTCGGTGTTTGAGAAGGAAGCGCTGCGGCAGGAGCGCGAGGCTGTGCAGAAGAGATGCGGACAGCTGGGCGCCGAGTTACGGGGCAAAGAGCGGTCGGTGTTTGAGAACGCGGTGGAAAAGCAGGCGACCAAGATGTTTTGCTCGCAATTGGTGGCAGCGTTCTATCAGCATCTGGGACTATTGCTGCCGTACCCGTCGGCGAGCTCGTACTTGCCGAAACACTTTAGTGCTCGAGAGGGCGGTGAGTTTCTCCAGCTGCAGCAAGGTGCGAGTTTCTTGCCGGAGATTTCATTGCGGAAGGAACTTGAGACGGAGACGAAGCGGTATGTGACAAGAGAGCACGAGAGGAAGGACCGCGGTCCATGTGCTGCGAGTGAAACGGCGGCGATTGTGCATTGCTTGCGCCGCCATCAGTTGTTCCACACGTTGAGCGAGCCGGAACTGTTGGCAGCTGCTGCGCAGTTCCGTCGTCGTGTGCTAACGAAAGGAGAGGTGGTGTTTCATCAAGGGACGCTGGGAGACTGTTTCTACATTATCGAGCGAGGACATTGCGACGTGTTTGTGGATTATGATCACCCGATGAAGACAAATGCAGTGCTGCATGCAGCACATACCGACAGTGTTTCCGATCCAGAGCTTCAGCAGCGGACAGAACTACGAAGACATAAAACTATTGTGCTGCCTGAGTTTAAGTCGTCATCAAGTCAAGTCGGCAAGAACGAGCGCGTTCACGTGGCGACGAATGGCCCCGGCAATGCTTTTGGAGCGTCCGCGCTTATTTACGATACTCCACGACGTGCTACACTGCAGGCAAGCTATTCCGAGCCGGAGGATGACGAAGGAGCTGTCGTACTATGGCAACTTGACAAGCAAGCGTTTTGCGAGATTTTGGCGCGTCATCCAGGTACTCAACGATCTCTGGAAGAGTGTCGCTTTTTGCTTGAAACGTTGGAAGACCACCCGCTGTTTGCCGAGCTCGATGATCGTGCGAAGGCATTGGCTGTGCGTAAATGTTTTCCCCTGAGCGTGCGAGCAGGTACGACGATATTGCGGCAAGGTGATCCGGGTGACTACTTTTACCTGGTTGAAAGTGGTCGGTGCGAGGTGTCACGTTGTAAACCAAAGGTGACGAATCCTTTTGTGGACCGGGTCATTGGACGTGGTGCTAGTTTCGGTGAAGCTGCGTTGTTGTACAACAGTCGTCGCGGCGCCTCGGTGAAGGCGCTTGACGATGCCAAAATCTGGTGCATGGATCGTGCGAGCTTCCTCACGATCACACGGAGCGGTTCAGCTGCCCTGCACAAATTGTTCAGTAAAGTCGGCACCACAGTTGTTTCTGGTTCGAACGAGAGTTTCGCGACGGAACGCGACTTGCGCCGGATGCTTACAGACCCTCAGCAGATGCAGCTGATCAGGCATTGTGATACCAAGGATGACGACGACGATGACGATGAAGAGTTTGATGAGATGGCGGCACTCTCTGGCTCACTGCCCTCAGCGCAGTCGTACAACCGTGCAGTGCAGCTTGCGTTGTCAGTGTTGCTCAACGATTCATCCGGGCTCGTCAACTTCTCCCAATTTGCACATTTTCATATCGCTTTGGGCGCTTCCAATATCGACCAGCTCTTACCAGAAGCTGCTTTCCGCGTACTGAAGTCCGTGGCAGATACATATCATGAGGGCGATACGCGTGTACCGATGCCGTCTACATCACCAACTCTTTTCGATCCGGTTGACCCAGACCAAGCTACGATCAAACTGAATGATCTTTCTCGTGCTATTCGCCAGTGGTTGTCTACCGGTGAGACAGCAGGGGATGCTTGCGGTACACCGGAAACTACTGTTTGCTTGACGCCTGGGCGCTTGGCATTTTACGAGCGCTTGTTTGACTTGCCAGCACATCAGTTTGGCGACCAGTACGTTACGCACGACGACCTGGTACGTGGGATTACCGCATTCGAAATGGAGGACGCTCGATCAGGAAGCAAAGAGGATGATGATGATGCTGGATTGGACGATGTGGTAGCAGCCAAAGTCGAGTTTCGAGCTTTTCTAGCTGCCCTCAAGTCTGATATCAGTGCGCTGCGCACTATCTGGCGCGCCGCTAAGCTACAAGCTCGCGGTGGGGATAATGCGGGCAAACTTGGTGACCGACGGAAGCTTACGTTTGACGCCAATCTCAAGTCCGGTTGGATCGCTGCTCTTCGTCTGAATCCTACAGGCAGTGACTGGGAATACTTGCAGCCTGTGATGGAAGACGAGTATCAGAGTGCGGCTTACAACGACACCAATGCGATGACCCATGGCAAGCAACTGACAGCGCAAATCACTTCGTTTGCTGCTGCTATTGCTGCAGGCGCATTGGCCCGCACTATGTGTGCACCGCTGGAGCGATTGAAAATGCTCATGCAGTTATCCATACCCAAGCCAATGCCTGCCGCAGCCATGGCCGTAGCTGCGACCGCAAAACCCACAGTCATCTTTGCCCCATACACGTCGTTGACAAGGGGCGTTTTGAACATGGTAAAGCTCAGCGGCCTGCGCAGCTTGTTCAGTGGCAACCTCGCGCACTGTATCTGGGTGGTGCCGTTAGTACCCACAAAATTCGCACTGTGTCGCATCTACCAGGATCAAGTTGGACGTTTGCTTCCTGGATCTTCTTGGACATCAGGTGCGACCGAAGTAGGGAAGCCTCTGGTGTCCGCGATGGCAGCTAACCTCGCAATGGGTGGTCTTGCTGGTCTGACGCTCAACTGCTTGTTCTACCCGTTGGATGTTATCCGCGGACGGCTCACTGTGCAGCAGTACTACAATGCGAATCGACCGTCGCGTGGCATCATAGACTGCGCTCGCTCTATCCGTGACAAGGCAGGCTTGCGTGGATTTTATCAAGGGTTTGCACCTGCAAGTCTCGGTGTCGCCACTTCCATCGGATGCAGCTTCGCGTTTTACGAGTCTTTGCGGCCAATATTTGTGCTTTACGACACCGCAGACACGCGCAATCAGCTTGGGCGTCCGAGTGTGCCTGGCCAGATCATGTGCGCGACAATGGCATCACTCGCGTCGCAATGCATCGCGTACCCATTTGACGTCATCCGGCGGCGAGTTCAGCTGCAAGGCACCAAATGGCATCCGGAACTCGCATTTCCGACGTACAAGAGCGCATGGCACTGTGTGAAAACTTCTGTTCAAGAAGACGGAGGTGGTGTACGCGGTCTGCGCTCGCTGTATCGGGGCATGTTTGTGAATGCGGTCAAGGCTCTGCCACCCACGGTCATCTCGTTCCTCAGCTACGAGAAGCTGTGGGGGATGGAGCATAGTGCAGAAGACGCGTAGCTGGTGGCTAGAGATTCACGACCTGTTCGTTGGAGCGCACTGGTGATGATTGATCAGCGATTGATACGTGTGCATTCACCACCTTGGCACTCATGGATTCGCTTGTTGATTGAAGTTTTACGTATTTCTTCGCCAAGCGGGAGGGCGGCTACTGTATCGTGCTGGCTACAGCATCGCTCGCCAAGCCGATAGGATCTCAAGTCATGAGCCTTGTCGAATCGCTGTCTTCAGGTCTTGTACCTTGCGGCCTGCAGAGGACAAGGAGCCCTTGTACGGCACATTGTTATTCGCCACGCGGCGAGACAAGGTTGATGCCTTTGAGTAGCGGCGCGGTGCATCACATCGGTCCGGCTTGACTGGGCTCCCGAAGCGCGGCTGACTGGCACTCCGCGAGTGCAGTGACCCGCAATCTTCGTCAAAAAAGTCACTGCAGACTGACGACATGTCCTCTCGCTGCTTCACTGATGCCTTGTTGTCCACACGAACGGCGCTTTCTGCGTCAATATGCTTCAGTTCGTTACGCTCTTTTCGAAGTAAGGCGACAATGTTGTTGGCAACATCACGCATCGTTTCGGAGACATGTCCGGCCTCAGTCAGAAGTCGCGAACATTCTCGCTCGACACCTTCGACCCATCGGGGTTGGTTCTTCACACGGTCAACTCCTCGGGACGCTGACTTCCAGGCATCGCCATATCGTCGATGGAGTTCTTGAGCTTGCTCCACAAAGTTGCCACACCGCTCGGACACTAAATGCATGCGACCGATGTATTCATCCAGTCGCGAGATAGCCGCGCCGTATCTCTCCTTCCTACCATAAACATTAACCACCGGAGCACGAGCGATCGGACTGTCCTCCCACCGCTTACGTGTCTCCGTGATCATATACTGAGTCTGTTCCAACTGCCCCAGCAGCGTCTGCTTCACCTCGCCCAATTCAGTGCGTCGCTGTAGCTGTTGCGTGAGCTTCGTCACAGCAGACTCGTACTTTTCGATGTCGTGATCGCGACGAGCAATGGTATCTTTGTACATCGCAATCGCCTCCAGTAGGTCTTTCTTCTCCCGAACCAATTGCGTATGCTGCTTCCGAAAATGCCTAGCAGCTCTCCGGCGCTCCTGAACCTCTTCAAACAGTAGCCGATTACTTTCCTCCATGGCATGATAGTCATGCTGTGGTTCTTCACCAGTGCTTTGCCGCATGGCTTGGACATCGCTTCTTGCTCGAAGGGCTTCGAGTGCATCTTCTGCTTTTGCCGCCTCAGTCTGCAGATAGTGAATGTCTTCTTCAAAAGACCGCCTTTCCTCATCAGTTTCCAGACGCAGCTCTTCATATCGCGTCGACCACGTCTTATCGACGGACTGCTTTGCGTCATTTGCATGCAATGACAAACGTTCCAAATCTTGGAGCTTACTTTGGCTTGCGCGCAGCTGAGTAGTCAACTGTTCAAGTTTGGAGTTCATCGATGATACTTGCCGTTTCCAGCGCGTCTCCAATGCTATCGCCTCAGCCTTAAACTCGTTTTTCAAAGCAGCGATTGCTTCGCGAACCAAACTTCCCATCGTATGGTGCTGGTCGTTTTGGGAGACCGGGCTGCAACCTAGCAGAAGCGAGTTCAGCTCCATTTCCATTTCCTCAAGATCTTGTCGTGCCAGCATATTCTCATTCTTCGCCGCAGCCGCCGCTTCCTCTGCCTCATCAGCCCGTCGGCGCTCGTTATTCAATTGTCGCACCAGCATGCTTTTCTCCGTGGCAAACTGATTTTTCCATTCTTGCTGCAGCTCTTGGGTTGCCGTACTCGTCGACGTATCGGCCGAAGCCGCTTCTGCCAGCTGACGTTCGAGATCTCGCACGAGCGTTGCCCGTCGAAGTAACTCGTCTTCACAACGAGCAAGCCGTTTCTTGTACTCCTGCGATTTAGCGACTTGTCTATCCAAGGCCAGCTGACACTCCGAAAGATGTCGGCGCTGCGCCTGTGCACTGGCAGCTTCGTTCGAAACTCGTTTCTCGCTGTGTTGAAGTTTACACTCCATAGCCTTGAGGTCTGTCTGGAAGCCAGACAACCTTGCACGCAGTCGCCGGTTGTCCTCGTCCATACTCTGGCGATCCTTTTCCAACGCCAGTAGCCGCTCGTTCGACGTTTGTTGGCAGCGGGACTCCGCTACATTATATTGCTCTTTCACCCTACGTGCTTCGGACTCAGCATGCTCCAACCGGCTTTCCAATGCCTTCACTTTTACTTCGTGATCCCTCATTAGCTGATCCCGCTCTGATTCAAGCTCATGAATGGTGCTCACAGCAGCTTCCCTATTTACCTTCAGCTCATCAGCTGCCTTTGCCAGCTCTTCGCAAGCTGATACCAATTTGACGTTCTCGTTAGCCAGTTCCTGCCTCTCTCTTGCGACCTGCTCCCCGTCGGTCTGTAGCCGGGCAAGCTCCTGTGTCATACTCTCACTTTCCTTCGCCAGCCGTGCTTCTTCGGCCTCAGCACGTTGCAATCGGCTTTCCAGTGTTTTCACCGTCAGTTCATGTTCCTTTGCAAGCTTGCGACGTTCGTGTAACTTACTTTCCAGCTGATGAATAGTGTCCAAAGCGGCTTTTCGTTCAGCTTTGAAGCTCTCCATTGACTTGGTCTGCTCTTCCAAAGCCGCCGTTAACCTGACATGTTGCAGCCGCAGCCGTTCTGTCTCTCCAGCCAGCTGTTGCCGCTCTCTTGCCATCCGTTCGACTTGAGCCTGCAGTCTCAACCGCTCCTGTTCAATGCTCTTGTTCTCCATCACCAGTCGTTCCTTGTCAAAGTGCGTCTTCTCGCAATCTGTCAACAGTCTCGTGTGCTCGGCGCGGTAGTTTTCGCTCTCGCACTGCAGCTGCTGCATCTGATGCTGCACCTGTTCCTCCATGCGGTGTAATTTCTCCTGATACCGAGCATCCAACGTCTGGTTCTCCTGTCTCACTGTCTCCACCTGCAGCTGCAGCGCCGTCACTTGCTCTCTCTGCTGCTGACTCACGCTTTTCCAATGCTCAGCCTCAGCCACAGCTTTGACACCAGCCACTTCACGCTGCTGCCAGTTCTGCTGTTCCTTGTGCCTCCGCAGCTCATCTTCTCGCTGCTCGCGCCTCCTCACTTGCTCGAGCTCTTGCACCTGATCCGTCAGCTCCTGCACCGCCTCGATCTTCTGCTGGAGCTCGTGTTCCAGCTCCTGGATCTTCTCTTGACTCTGCTGGTCTCGCCTCTTCATTTCTTCCTGCCATTTCTCAGCCGTTTCGGCATCAATCCCGCCCCTCTCTTCAAGGTACGACTGCAGCTCGGCTTCAGCTTCTCCTTGTGCTTCTTCCCGGGCTCGAGCTGCTGCTTGGACCGCATCTTGGAGCTGTGCATTCAGCAAATCAATCGCTTCCGTCGCTCGGATCATACTACAGTTGCGCTGACGCAACTCGTGCTCGCGCTCCTCGAGCGCCATCCGCAGCTGCGCCAACTCGCTCTCGAGGTCTTCACTGGCAAAGTCCGTGCCCTGCTTCGTGCGCAAGAGCCGCTCCTCCAGGAAATTGATCCGCAGCGCCTGGTTGAAATTGTCCATTCGGAGCCGCTCGCGCTCGGCCTCTTGCTCCCGCAGCAGCGTCGAGTGGTCGCGGGTGGGCGTGGACGTGGAGCCGCTGCCGTCGGCCTCGCCGCGGACGCGCTGCGGCGGTGACTGCATCGGGGTATACACAGAGAGAGAGAGAGAGGCGCGCGAAGGGTTGAGGTCTGCGGCGGAGGAGATGGCGATTTGGGTGGGGAACGGTGGACCACGTTTGGGGTGTGGTCGACTGTGGGGTACGGACGGTTTACGGTGGGGGTACGAATGGTTAGGTGCGGGACGAAGTGGTCGATGAGCGGAAGAATCAGAAAAAGTGTTTTTGTTGTTGTCTTTTAGATTTTGGTACGTCGTGGTATGAGGTTTTTTCGATGGAAGTTGCTGGGAATAGGAGTGGGAGGAGTGGGGCGTTTGGTTGGTTAGTCGATGGATGGATGGAATCAGTGACGCGATCTAGTTTTGTGCACGGGATTAGGGTGGACGAGTAGTATACTGCCAAGTGTGACATGCTGTCTCACGAGTGACCAACACTGTTTCAATCAACAATGGATACTCGCAATACTTGTGACTGGCAATGCGTGACCCATCAACGTGTTGGGGTCTCTGCGCGCAAGAACTGAAGAAAACGTGGTCGTAAGCGGATGTCAACAGCGGTTGCAGAGCTTTATTCCGTGTCAGAAGTGACGGCTGGACTTGCCGTAGCACACAAACGAAACGACGTCATCGAAAGCCTTTGAGAAGGGTCGTCACCATATCAACGACAAGTCAAAGCTTGCTTCAACAGCAACAACATTCAAAACCCTTACTGAAAGCTGACGAAGGCTACGTATGATACAAAAGGGTCTTGGTGCGCTGGTTTCCCATCTTTCGACAAAGAAACATCCGGCAATTCCGAGATTATTTGTCACCTAAGGTATACGGCACGTCCACGATCCCGATCAATTGCGCCGTACACCTTGTGTCAATTTTCCGCTCGCATGTGGAGATTCCGTCAAAGACCAGAGATCAAATCTGTAAATCAAGTACTTCCGCTCGAGGTCGGCGACGAAACCCCAGCGGTTGCAAGTTGAAGTGCCACATCTTTCTTCATCTTCATTGGTCAATATGGCGCAGCCTCATTGGATCAAATGAAACTTTTTCTTGACAAACAAAAGGAACCAAACCGGCAGAAATTACCCATTTCTAAACAGACACAACAGCAACGATGATTCTCAACCTGGGCCTTCTGCAGCTGCTCGTGCTGCCGCCGGTGCTGCTACTCGTGTCAGGCTTGGCGCTCTTCAACTTCCAGAACGTTTTCCGATTTCTAGCTTTGAGTACGTTAGCAATGCACGCCACTAGTACATTCGTCATTGGCACTGAGCGAGTCACGTGCTTTTCTACGTAGATCTCAAGAGTTACCTGACGATCCCGGCCGTGCAAGTGCTCAAACCCTGTAAGTTGCTGGTAGAAAAGGACGCGTCTCGTCTTGTCGCAGTTCCTTCTACTGTGACGTTTTCTAACAAACGACGTGGAAACTGCAGATGCCGACAAGCTGCGCTACGCTCTGGAGCAAGTGCTGGGTACGTCTTATTATTGGCCCATTAGTGGGACCAACCCGCCAATTATTTGATGACATACACGCAGGCAAAGCGGCGTCGTTCAAGTTCAATGTCTCGCACGTACTCATGATGGCGGTGGTAATCATGTTGATGGCTGTCTTTGAGGCCATCCAAAAGAACAACCAGCTGCAGGAGCAGCAGCTCAAGCTGCGTCTAAAGAGCAAGCGCGCGTAGATCTACGACGAAGGTCACGGAAGGTGAGCGCCACTTCGTATCCGAGCACGGTAGCTAAAGGAGAAGGCACGAGTATGACCGCAAGTTTTGAAACCCATTTCGTATAGTCGCGACGCCGAGCGCATTGTATTAAACTGGTGACTCGCGGGAACAAGAGAAGTCACACACATACGCGGTGCATGCTTACGCGCAGTCCATCCATCTGCTTGAAGACCCTTCCTTGCACGGGCGTGAACACTAACACCTCGGGTCAACGCGGCTCAATCGCGATTCAAACGTACCAGATTAGAGAAGAAACCATTCTATGGCACGTCCAGCAGCAGTACTTACGCGTACAAGTCCTCGATCACCGACTCGTACTTCTCGTGAACGACCTTGCGCTTTAGCTTCAACGTTGGCGTCAGCTCATTGCTGTCAATGGAGAAGTCGTGGTCGAGCACGACGTACTTGCCCACGTTCTGCGCACGCGACGTGGCACGGCCATTGGCGCGCTTCAAACCCGCATCAAGGTACATCTTTACCTTCTCGTCAGCACGAGCCTCCTTTACCGTCTTTGCGGAGCTGCCGATCTCCTTCATAATGCTGAGCGCTTTCTCGTCCAGCGTGTCGGTGGGCTGACCGTCCTTGTCTACAGTCACACGCAGCGTGAACACTGCAGCCAAAAATTTGCGACGGTCGCCAACCACCATCGCATTCGATAGTAGCGGTAGCTCTTCCTTGATCGTTTCTTCAATAATGACAGGCGGGACGTTTTCACCGCCGGCCGTAATAAGGAGCTCTTTGATACGACCGGTGATCGTCATGAAACCATCTTCGTCAATACCGCCGCAATCACCAGAGTGAAGCCAACCCTCCTCATCGATTGCGTCTTTCGTCTGCTGTTCACCCTTGAGATAGCCCATCATGATGTTGCGACCACCGAAGATCAACTCATCCGTACCAGGCACGACCTTCGTTTCCGCGCCGTCAATCGTGCGACCGCATGTACCGATCTTCCAATTCCCCTGCATACTGCACGTTTGCGGGCCGCTGCACTCGCTTTGACCAAAAAACTCATACACCGGCAAATCCAGCGAGCCAAAGTACTCGACGATCTCACGGCTAATGGGTGCGGCACCGCTAAAGCTCGCGATACACTGGTCCAGACCAAGCGCCTCTTTTACACGCATGAGCACAACGGCGTTGGCAACACCGAAACCACAAGGAGCTCCTCCCGAATTACCGTACTGTGCAAGTGCTGTCTTTTGAGCAGCCTTGTCCTTCGCCCACGCTGCGATACGCTTTTTGATGCCGTGAGTCTGGGCCGCAATTGACCACATCTTCTCGGCAATCTTCTCCCATACACGGGGCACACCGAAAAAAAACGTCGGACGCACCTCCTTGAGCGTCACACCCAGAGATCCCTTCAGAGCATCAGGCTGTGCAAAGAAAATCTGCGTGCCGGCACAGACAGGCAACCAGATGTCGATCAGCTGGGCGGCAACATGCGACATGGGCAGGTAGCTCACGAGCCGGTCGTTGTTGGTCACAGTGTAATTGTAGTTGCGCTCAAGCATATCAATGACGCTCATGATGATCCACACAACGTTATCGTGCGAGATCATCACAGCCTTCGGGTCACCTGTGGTGCCAGAGGTGTAAATGAGCGTGCAGCAGTTGCCAGGTTTCTGCGAATCCATGACCTCCTGGAGTGTCTCGTCCTTGACGTTGCTGCCAAGCTTGAGAAAGTCGTCGAACGAGTAGACAGGGACCTTCGACTGAATGCCTTCCGGCACCACGTCGTTCCACATCACGAGTGCCTTGAGCTTCGGAATGTCGTCCTGAATCGCTAGAAACTTCTCCAGCTGCGACACACCGTCGCACACCACGACTCCAGCGTCCGAGTGCGTGACAATGTACTCGCACGCCTTGGGCGAGTTGGTCGTGTAGATGCCAGCCGCTACGCCACCGGCAAAGATCGCGCCAATGTCAGCAATGGCCCATTCCGGCGAGTTGAAGCCAATGATGCTCACGGCCTGGTAGCGGTCAAGACCGACGTGCAGCAGCGACTTGGCAAACTGGCAGCACTTGTCATAGTACGTCTGGAACGAGTACGATTTCCTGCACAAGCCACACACACACACAACAAGACAACAGATGGTTCAGACAACGGCAGCGGTCCTTACACGTCAATACTAAGAACCTCGCAACGTACCACTCGCCACCCTGCTTGTAGTGGAGCGCGTTAGCCGATCCGTACTTGGCCAAGGTGCTCTGGAACGCCTGCGAGGCCGTGATAGCGGGACGCGCACCGGCTCCCGACTCGGTCATGCGGAGCTTCACCTCTCCGTCAATCTTCCACGTCTGCAACAGACAAGACGAGGTACAGAGGAACAATATCGTCAGTTGTAGCTGGTGTAGAGCGCTGTGAGATCGTGGTCGTACCGTGTAGTCGGATGCCATAGTAAGTACGTTTTTGGGGATTTGGATCCGCTCGGGGGGTCTTCTGCGGTTGCTTTTGCAAATTCCGCACTGAGCAGTCGCTTGGGAGTGGAGACAGTGTAGGGAAATGAAACCACTAATTCGCTTGGTGTTTGTATGGGACTGCGTTTAACGTATTTTGGCCTATCAGATAAGGCTCGATCGCGCGACACGTCGGTTTTTTTGTCGACTTTGCTGCAAACCGCCGGGACGTGTGCCGCCTTGCTGGTTCATACCCAATTACTATCGGGTGGCCGATGGTGGGTGGAAGTGTGCCGCCTTGCTGGTTCATACCCAATTACTATCGGGTGGTCGATGGTGGGTGGAAGCCACGATGACACATCGGAAGGCAGCCGAGTTTCCCGTTGGCAATACAACGACAATATGACGGGATTTCTCCAACTCGTCAAAAAGATTGAGTGTGGCTGGTCCTGATTTTATGGCGGTGCTGGAATTCCACGTAGAACACAGTCCAGTACGGAGGCTAACATGGAAGAAGAAGAAGCAAGTGCATCTCGAATAGTGCAGCACAACAGCAGCAATTGATAGTATAGCACCGGTTGTCCTGATCGTTTAGCCGCATGTGCTACACACGACAGTACTGTGAGCGACTGAATCCAGGGTGTTAACGTGTCGACTGGCTCTGCTGTTCTTATCAGGCACCTTCTCCACTCGACTAGACGACGCCACTTGTGGTACTAGTACAAGCTTGGCTCAATTAATCCTGTCCTGATTGCGCGTCGAAGGTGTGACACAACACCGACCACTGGCCAAACCTTCAATGTAAGCGACCTCGATTATGCACACTTGGTTTCTAAAAAAGAACATGTGGTCCGTCGTCCATTAGCCCTGTTGTGCTATTGGAGCTGATGACCACATCGTACCTCTGACAATCCGAAGGTGTCAGCTGCACACGGCTGGAGTCGTCACACACGCTGTTTATCGCACTTCTTTCGCTCCCACGTTTTTCTACTCATTACCATCGCCATGACCCTCATAAAGGTGGTAGCTGTGTCATAATTGATCTCCGAGCAGTTTGTTTCACTTCATCCATCTCCCCATATTACAATGCACATCTCGCCTACTCTCTCCAGTAGACGTGCTGACGTTCCATAATCACATACAGTCTTTTGTTCCTGCTGATGTTGATTCTCTCAACGGGAAAATCAGCAGGACGCCGTCATCAAAACATTGTAAACATGATCTTGCCAGAGTGAGATTTCGAAAAAGGCTGTAACAGGTGGGGAAGGATTCAGCAGCTGTCGAGCATCGCGTGGCCGACGTTGCGACCGCGTCGCATCTTTGCACTGGCCATTATTTCCGGAGCCTTTTGCACTGCTTATGTTTCTAACGAACAAGCAGCGGTTTTGCGTTTCATATAGGCGTCAAGTCGCACCTAAGCGTAGAGCCCGACAATCCCATCAGGGATTCCTAGAAGAATAGCGAGCATTCTGCCGTAGCAACCTCTGTCGATGGCCTGCTTAGAAGTTGCAGTAACAACTTGGACGATGTGCGTGTGGGACCTGCAAACTTGCTCCGCTACAGAGCTTCAAAGTCACTTGCACTTTCAGCGAAAGTGCGGGAACTCCGTGCCAGCTTGTGACCGTCCATACTACAGCTGGTGTATTCTGCTGCTATAGGTTTCCATCGCTACATGTTGTATGCGATGGAATGTGGTAGTACGGCTCGCATAGCACTGCAGAGATGACGATCACGGCCAGCTCTGCTAATCATCCGTGCGACTCTGCCCGCCAGACACACTGGACATTCCACAGCGATGGGCAATATCTAGTTTGCTACCGTCCGCGGGTGTTGCTCATCCCCACGCTCGATTTGACCAACACAGTTGCCACAATTTGGTCGTCCGACTACCCCGCCTTGACGTGTAGACGTGCTGTTTGATCTCCGATACTCGCTTTCATGTGCTAGCAAAACAGATACCGACACACCAGAAGCAGCTGTGAAGATCCTGCTGCACCATCGCAGCAATGTCCAAGATGTAAACACCAACACGTGGGGTCAGTTTCTTACTCCTTTGCGCACATTTAAAGTCGGCTTGTATCGATCGATATATATCATTTACTCCCCAGAGCTCTGCGAGCTGACCTCGAAGTGGCTATCAGCGTCATCATTGCTGTTTTCTAATGGTGACACACCTGTACAAGGAGGGAAAAAGAGAGAAAAAGCCGCGTCAGTGCACAAGGACAGAAACAACTTGCACCATGCAATCCACTCACATCCATCACGCGGAGAGGAAGTCTGCGACACATGACCGACGTCGTCATCGGTATCCACCATCGACACACTGTCGAAGTCAAAATCCAAGCTGCTGGAGCTATCCTGCCGTTGCTCTGGAAGCAAGGCATGCAGTCTTCGAGCAACTGGCTTGGTCCGTCTTCCAATAGGAGGCAGTTGGTGGTTGACTGGTAGCATTTGCTGCTGCCGGAGCTGCTGCTGCGTGCGCTGTATCTGCAATTGAGCCTCTCCTTCGATGCGCTGGCTTTCGACAAATGCCTTAAATTGCCCAGAACCATTCGGAGACGACGGTCGCCTTGTGCTCATTTGAGCTGCGAGGCCTGTTAGCGCATCAACGGGATGATCTCGAGTCATCCAGGACTTGCGCTTTTCTTCAGAGTCCCACGGAGGTCGCTTGCCTCGATCCACTGCTGCTGCAAAACCTGGCATGCTTTCCATGACGTCCGAAAAGGTGGCCTCGGGGCTCGGCGGCGGAGCGTGCGACACCCAATCAGTGTAGTTTGTTAGCGGCTGACTTGCACGCCAAACCGCTGCCTGACGAACAGCCTGTGAAAGCGAGCACATCGATTTAGCATTGTCGCTCGAGCCAGCCGCGTGCTCTTCGATCTCGTCCAAGAACATTCGTTTTTGAGTGGCCAAGCGCGGCGTAGTCGGCTGACCTTGAGCAGGCATTGCCGCCACTTGACCGACAGTAGCCAAGTGGTCACGCACATTTGTACCACTCAGTAAACTACCCACGACAGTCGTCTGTTCGTCTTCTTCGTCTTCATCACCATTTCTCTCATCGTCAGCGTCACGACCCGCATCTTCCTCCTCCTCTTCGCTGCTTGACGTGTCCTCACCCGGATGGGAGTTCAGGGCTCCAAATGTATCCATGGTCTGCTCTGCAAGTAGCCGGCGAAGTAACAATCGTTTCGAGACCTTCTGCTTCAGCAGTGGACGCATGGCCTTGCGCACACCCTTACTTGACCACGCTTTCTTGAGTGAGTTTTCGTGCTCACGCGAGAGCATAACGAACTTGCCAATTTTGTCGTCAACGAGCTTTTCTCCGCGATCCAGTTTTCGCAGGACTCGCACCAGCGTGCTCTGAATAGTAGCAATGCTGCGGTCAACGTTCGTGTTATCGATCTTGGGAATGAGACAGCGATCAGCATGCTTACATAAATGGCGCTGAATGATGCGGATGTTGTCAAAATGTTTAATGTACTTGTTCTCCTGTGGATCGATCGTCATGTGACGTGCGCGTACAGCAAAGCGATCACGGTGCTTGTTCTCGTTGCTGATGTAGATCATGAACGGCACACACGTCGGATGCTTTTTCACTAGCGACAGCAACTCGTCCATATTCAAGTGCACTCCTTCCACCACCAGTGACTGCTTGCGTTCTTCGAACATCGTCAGCACTCGGTCCAGCTTCTCCAGCACCGACTCCGACTGCATCGTGTAACCTTTTAGAACCATTTTCTTGTGCAGTCTCGCAGGCGACATATCCTCTCGATCTCCCTGAAGTGCCGCCACCAGCTGCGGGGACAAGGCGTCCCCAGCTTGGTACGTGGACACAAAAGCACACGGGTTCTCTTCCTTCGACGTGAACGACCGCAACACGTGACGCACCGAGTCCGTGGGAAGGATCGTCGTCAGTCTCAACCTCGCTGCCAACAACGACGCCAACGTCGATTTGCCTGTGCCGGACGTTCCTCCCAAGAGCACAGCAAAGCTCTCTTTTCTCTGGGTAATCTCCTTGGCCACTTCAAAGTCCAGTAAATGATGCGGCTTGACGTAGTCCAGTCTTGCTAATGACGAGTAGATGCACTGATGCAGGAGATGCCAAGGCAGCACCACCGACAGCGTCTCCTCCTCCTTCTTCTTCGCCTCTTCTTCTTCTCCCTCTTCTTGGTTATTGCTGCTGCCCCTTATCTTGTCCCTCGATACATACTGCGTAAACACGACAAAGACCTCCCGCGTGACAGTCGCCACGTCTTTCGGTCGACATCCCATCAGCATCAGCGTCTCCTGCAGTCGGTAGCGCGTGAAGCTCTCGCGCTTGTTCTCACGCTTGACGTGCAGAAGCTCCATCGGGTCGAACCCGTCGGCCTCTGTCTCCTCGGCATTCATGGCCGGTGGGAGGCGGATAGAGCGCGGGGGATGCGGAGGCTGCTGCTCGGGAGCTACTTAAGTCACGCGTGCGCTTGGTTTAAAGGCCGAACGGGGACAGGGGAGAGGGGGTCGCGACTAAGTCCGAACGAGGGTGAGAGGAGTCGATTGCACGGGACCTATCATGCGGCATGATCCGTGGATCGGAGGGACGGATTGGATATTTCCGAAAAAATGTCTACTGCTTTGCTATCCTGAGTTTGCGGGATAGCGTGGTGGAATTAGAGATGTGCGTTTGTGATGTGGAGAGCAACAAATGGGACCAAAAGACAAGCAGCTCCGGAAACCTCAACCTCTAGTAGACAGTGTTTGTTGTGGCCTGCGTAGGCACGTGAAAGGCGAGGTAGTGACGATAATCACAGAGAGCACGATCCAGATGTCGTCGAGAGCGTTGTTGTTTGCTTGCGTTACGCTCTCTTGCTCGATAGTGATCGCATGCCAGGAGACAATCCGTCACTTGTGGCTCACGATCGCCACACGCGAGTACAAAGACGACAGTTTGCGCAGCAGTAGTGGCTCGTTTACACTTGTTTATGGAAATTGTTGCACCATCGCACCTTGCCACGAGAGGACGCTCTCACACCAAGTTCAAAAAAAATATCCAGCAAATGAAGGATCCCTCTCAATCGCCATGCACAAAAGCGCAACGAAGCAGCAAGACCTTTTCTATCACAGTAGTACCCCCTCCCCACACACACACACTCTCTCTTCTGTCCCGCCCGCAATGTCTCGTTTCTAACTGCCAAACGTACCGGTTAACCATACCCGCAGCAATCGTCACCAGAAATATACCGCCCCATCCATACCGTCCGTAGCCCCGTCGTCATCGTCGGCAGCGGCAGCAGTCCAGGTCGTACCCCCCCCAATAAGACTACCTTTTGACTCGAAAGGGGTTTTCCCACTCCTCGCTCCTGCCGTCGCCAAGCCATGGCGAGCAAGCGCCTCGACGCCGTCAAGCTGGCCAAGAGCTCTCGCTGGGACGATCTCCGCCGTCTCGTCGACTCGGAGCCCGCGACCGCCCAGCAGGTCGATTCCTACGGGATGCTGCCGCTCCATTGGGCGTGCACCGAGCCGCAGTCGATCAGCGAGGGCGTGCTCTTGGCGTTACTTAAGGCGTTTCCCGCCGGCGCTCGGGTACCAAACACGGCCGAGATGCTGCCACTTCAGATCGCAATCAAGGCCCAAGCGCGCATTGAATGGCTCCAAGCGCTCCTCGCTTCCTACCCGGACGCGGTGCTGAAGAAGGCCATGACTGGCGAGACCGCTGTCCAGCTCGCGCGCCGAGCCGGACTCCCGAGCCGCAGCGTCAAGTTACTGGAGGAGATGTACCACCACGTGTGTACCAAGGAGGGGCTGCCGGACCAGCTGGCTATGGACGAACGGGAGGCGCAACAGCAGCTGGGACCCCAAAGGCAGCTGCAGCAGCAAGTAGAAGACGAAGAAGCAGACGAGTCGAAGCAGCGGGGGCTGAGACCGTCCGAGAGGTTCCAAGCTATTGCAGGGGACGTGGTGCCGCTGCCCCAGCGGGCGAGCGGCGTGCAGTTTGGCCAGCGCCCTCGTCGACTGAGCAGCACGGCGTCGCTCAAGTTGCGGTCGTTCTCGGACAATGACTTTTACACCCAGCGGACAAATGCTGGAGCTACTTCAACGGCTGTAGCAGGACCGAGTCCGTGGTCGCCACGCCGGACCATGGAGACGGTGCAAAGGCCACCGTCGATTGTGTCGCAGCGACCGTCCGTGTCGACTCGGAGTGCTGTGTCGCTGCCCCCGCGCTGGATGAATGCCCCGAGTTGCAGTATCTGTGCCCAGAAGTTTGGCACGTTTAAAAAGCGGCATCATTGCAGGAATTGCGGACAATCGGTCTGTCGCGACCACTCGGCACGCGAGCGGATGAAGCTGCCGCACTATGGACTGAATGACCGTCATCGCGTCTGTGTCGTGTGCCACGACGTGCTGCGCAATGCTGGTCGCCAACTACGCCAGCAACAGATTACGACGCAGGTGGCACAGCGCACGGTTCCGCTGACGCGTACGAGTCAAGCGTTTGAAAGTGAGGTGCGTCGCTCGGACGAAGCGCAGCGCTCGCCGCCAAATATGCTCGAGCGTCACGTCTCGGCGCCAGCACGTGCATCGAACTCTGTCGCAGGGGCGAATCAAGGCGGGATTGACGATGCAGTGAGTGAACAGGTGGCGAATTTGCAGAAACAAGTCTCGCAGCTTATAGAAGAGAAGCAACAAGCGGAAATGCAGCTGCGCGTCCAGGCTGAAATGCTGAACGATCCCGATCGCCTCACGAACGGCTCTCGTGGTAGCAACACGAGTGGTGGCAGCGGTGATAGTATCATGCCAAAATCGCGTGATCGACAGTGCTCGTTGCCGATGCCGATGCACACGGGCTCGGTGGTGCCAATTTCATATAAAGCAGGTCAAGTGCCAAGCTCTGGCACATCAACGTATCGCTCGTCGGGGCAGCCACTGAGTAGGACCCGAAGTGCTGGCTGTTTTCGGCCGACTCGCGAGATCTACATTGATGGCCCCCACGTTGAGAATGCGTTGCCACCGCAACAAGCGCGGCAGCAGTCGTCCCGTTCCAACCCGATGGCAGTGAATGTTGCGCTGCAGAGGACGACACGGCTTCAGGACGCTCTGAATACAATTGCTGCCGTAGAATCAACGTATGATGACATTGATGAATCTGACACAGACTCGGATCTTGAGGGACGTCAAACCGACCTTGCTGACTTCCACGATGCTGAAGCAGATGTGGACGCTGAAGTTGATGACATTGTAAGGGAGTACCTTATTGACGATGACGATGTCGACTATGATGACGATGACGATGACGAGGAAGCGATGGTGGAAGCAGTTAAGGCTGCAACTATTGCAACAAATAACGAGATAGCGGTGGAAGGTGAAAGCGAAAACGAAGTGGGCAGCGACACACTGCCAGAAGTGGATGTGCTGGTAAGCCTCGGCCATGTGATGATGGAAAAGGGCAGCGTAAGTGCTGCAGTACAGGCTTTCACGCGTGCTGCAGAAATCCGTCCAGACGATCCTGCACTTCATGCGCTACTTGGTCGAGCGTACTATGCAGATGAGAATTTGGACGATGCAGTGGCTTCCATTACGAAGTCGTTGTCTCTGGAGCCGTCTGCGACGAACTCTACACTATTGGGTAAGATCCTCTTCGAGAAGGGTGACCACGAGATGGCTATTGCGGCGTACCAGCGATCCCTCGACATGCAGAAGTAAGATGAGTAGGTAGGTAGATGTGATAGGTGTACCCAAGAGTAAAAGCTTGCTGGGGACAAGGCCGGACGCCAAAGCAGGGATTTGTGACCGATAGACGATGCCATGTAGCAGTTGTACGCAGTTTAGTCATCGCAGGATCGTATGAATACAAAATGTCACCTCGTGCTAGTCGCCTGGTCAACAAACAAACAGTTCAAAGCCAAATCCGCACCAGACAAAAAGCTGCTTTGAAGGCTTACAGCTGGATCCAGTTTTAGTGACTCAGCACTTTGAACTGTACTAACTACCTAGCAACTCCCAAGTTGGGCTGTTGTCATTGTCCACGTGTTTCTCACGACTTTCGCAGCAGGATCGAATCCGAGCGCTAGGTCACTAGTCATATACAACAAGGCAATGTATACTTGGAACAAGGGCTGGATGGTAGAAGTATCTCTACTCGAAGTTCTGCTAGCTGCCCGCGAAATACTATCATTTTAGATGCATATGAATGGGAAGATTGAGGACGTGTAAGAAGGCAGCTACTTCTTCTTGCTCTGTCAAAAGGCGTTAAGATGACAAAGTGATCCATACCATGCAGCTTGGTTCGACGTACGAATGAAACAGGTGAGAAGTCATTCTCCTCGCAAGTGAGTGTGTCATTGTGATCGAACGAGCGCTTTTATCATCGGATCGAAAATTCCGAGGCTTCGCGTCATCTGGATGGCATACACCAATGCGATCTTTTGATCCGTATTCGACCGAGAGCTGCCGGTTCTATTGCCGTTCTCGTGCTACCACGTAACGTAGAGTATTGCAGAAAATGTTTATGGAAGTGACTCCAAGGAGCATTTGACTGCATTAGTGCGGCACTTGTCTACAGTTTTGACAATACTGTGAGAGAGGGGTTTGTGTTCGCGGAAGTGAGTGCCACCTGTGTACGTAGGATTTCTCAGTAGCAAAGCCACTTTTTGGGGAAGTGGTCAGAAAGCCGACGCTACTATCACTTTATCCACTCGAGCCCATTACATTGATCGTGTGTCAGAAGGTAGATTCGTTGTACCATTTCGTCACTCGTGAAGCGGAGTAAATCTCGAAGCGAATGCGTGGAGACCAGAGTATGAAAGTGGTGATAACCGTACTGGCGACTCGGTGAACCACGAGGTGAAGATGCGATATTATAGCTATAGCTGACGAGACGACTTATTTTTGAACCATTGCGGTGCTTTGTAAGCCCTTACGTCCATCGATCGTATTGGAGTACCCGCTGTCTCTCTCACAGCAACAGCTTCGGTTTGTACTTGTCCCGGTCCTTTGGTGTGCAAGAAAGATCATTTACTGTTGCCCAGAAGCCATAAAGCCAGATGTAAACACTCTTCCCGCATGATCGGCAACGGGCTGGGCCTAGCCGGAGATCGAATCCGAACCCTCTCGCACCCTAAGCGAGAATCAAATCACCAGTGTGATGGTCCTGACAGTGACTGCTCTTGCGTAAATCGTCATACTTGACCGCTTTAATTGCACAACACTAGTGTCGAGGTAGACGCTGGTATTTCCAGCCTTGATAGACGAACGTGCTGACTTCATAGGTCTAGCAGATTCTACGCTTGCCACCTGGAAATCCCCTTTGAGTCTCGCAATCACACTTTGTATCTATAACTTATCGACGATGAAAGAGTCGACGACACAGTTAGCGCACGCCCAGGTTTGAAGAAAGATGCCAACACACGCACTTCCTCTGTCGCAACTCGGTCAACGGCTTGGAGAGTTCCCGCGTCTGTTTCAAAACTTTGGTTGCACCTTGCTAAGTGTATGTCCTGATCTGCAGTCTGTAGGTACTAATGAACCGTTCATCATCGATGTGCTTTTTCTTCTTCTATCAATGTGCGCTATTACTACCATCGAACCCACTGTGATGCTAGCTCCTGCACGATCGATGGTAGCTTTGATGATATCGCTATGCATTCGCAGCGATTGAGCCACAGCACCAAGAAAGCCAAGATAGGGCTAATGTTGAAGTCTTACATCTTTGTCGCGTGAATTATAGCGGACGTTTGTCGTTGCGGAACAAGGAGCGAGACGACTCTCTTGCAGCATTGACAAATGAGAAATGGATATGGTCGAATGCCGCAGTACTTTTACAGCCAAGATGAACGCTATGCTGTCGCTTTGGATGCTTATGAACCATGTCGACGGACGAAACAACAAAAAGAGATTCGGTACGACGAGGAGCTCGTAGATACTACCCTGAGCCTCGTCATTGAGTAGTACCCACCTTCCTTGATTGGCTGAAGCTAAGGCAGGTAGGGGTAGCGGCTCTCGTGTATATGCTCCCAATATCGTGTGAGTTCGTCGTGATCTTTGCTTAACGGTTAACGACTTCTTTCTGCTCCGAGTCAAACAGCTGATGTTCATACTCTTGAAACAGGTTCGGAACCGCTTGAGTGAGCTGTAAACAGGATGTTGAAGAGAGTGACGAAGAAGACATGGTGCTACAAGACGCGACTATAAGATAAGGGGGCAAGCTCTGGAGCTCGATCCTTGATAGAAGAAAACCAGCTCGGAGAACTGAATCAAGTTGCAAAACACCATACCACAGCAGTCACTGAAATATGAGTATGATGCTTTTATTGTATGCATTATCCCAGTGTAGAAGGATAGAGCAACCGGACGGGCATTTGATAATGAGCATCCAGCATGATCAAGTTTAAGCCAATCATGTGCGTGCGTCACAATAGGTATCTAGCCAACAAGTAAGTCCAAGAATGCCTAAATATTTAGGAGGGCGGACAGGCTAGATCGCACTCAATACGTGTAAGCTACACCCGACCGCGTTATTTACAGACACACACAAAGCTAAGTACGCTTTAGGAGTTGAAAAGGCAACCTGTAACGGGGCATTCTTTGTACGGGGTGCCACGAAACTTCACGTATACTAGTACGTGCAGAGGAAGCTAATCTACTCTAACAGCTAGTTTGATATAAAAGGTAAATAGAGAACTTCATTTAGTATAATTAAGCTATCAACATAACTTCAATCTTTATCTAAAGATATTAAACTACATTGTCGTATGACGACAGCCGCTCACCACTCATTACGCGCGTCTAGCAGCGATTGGTGGTAACCTTGGTTGACACGTCTTTTATCAGCCAATCTTTGAACAGCACATGAATATTATCCTAAAAGGGGATATTATTCCTTCAATATTATCCATCTCGGATAATGTTGGTAGTAAATTGTCACTCTAGACAATCTCTCTATTGACACAGTTTGGTGTCAATATGATGTTAAGAGCTACCCCGTTACAGTCTACGCAAAAACGTTTGATATAGACAATCACAATTAAACATTAATGAAGCAAACATTTAACGTCCTTTTCCAGGTCTTCAAACTTCCATCAAAGCTTCTTTTTATTGGCAACAGCTTGAGTGGTACCTCTCTACCTTTAGTTATTCGGCAGAGGAAGGCAAAGCAACGAGGAACTGAACAGTTGCTGGTAAAGTTAAACTGTATAAAAAATTATCAGCTCCTTATCTAAACCTATGTTCTGGTCCTACCTTAATCATACATTTTTACAAAGATACATGCTATATTCCTGCTCACCAATCATTTAGCGCGTCCGAACTTGTTTGAACCACTCAAGCTGGCTGATATGATGACCCATATCACCTAATCGGTGAGTGTTTCTGAATACTACACATTGTAATAATTTTTACGAACGTTATCTCCCTTTATAGATATAATTATGATATAATCTAATTGAGTGCTAATTACATGTAACATGCTCACCCCGTTTCGTCACATTCCCTGAATAATGGTCACTCAATCACTATTATGTTAATGTGGTCACCGCTTGACCACAGCAGGGACAGGGAGCACTTGTTTTGATCTGACGTATTCCCATCTAGATTTTCATCGCATGGTGAACAACTCCGTGCGATGCATCGAGAAAGCTGCTGACAAGGCAGCTGCGCGTGTTAAAGGTATCCGCTCTTGACGATGTCCAGCCTCTCGCATCAGACGAAGCAAGGTCTGCTGCCGCTGCAAATTTTCTGCAATACCAGTTGATGCAGAGGCACGTGGTGAGTGACCACTTGATAATGATGATAACTCCCAAGTGGATCTCATTCATATAGGGGAGTTGGACAGTGCGTATGATAAGAACAGACATCTACGTTGCCCGATTCTATAGGGGAGGCCGAATATGAATCTACTGATAGCACTCGAGCGGGAAGTCAGACCCATGATCACTACTGAAGTCTATGTAGTCTAGAGAGTGAGCATGATGACTCCCCCCACTCCTGCTACTGATTATTTTACTTTTAGCGAATGCTTGATAAATGTAAGTCGTGATAAAGATTATGAAGGTACCAAGACTTCTGTGGGTACCACTCAGGAGTCTCTAGACGGCAACATGCTACGTCTATCTTCTGAATGCAAGCCTTGGGTAATAGCAAAAGGCTTGTGAATGACCTGTCAAGCGAGACAAGTCCTTATCATCAAATATCATTATGTTATGCAAGGGTGCTGTACGTCCTCGACATCAGCGCTAGTATTTTTCTCGCTAAAGAAGACTTCTATCTGGAAAAAAATTAAAGCATCGTTGGTATAGTGGCAACACGAATCGAGACATAAACTTATTATTTCGGGCGTGTAACGCCTTTATACTCAGTGTGCAGCACATTGGGTGCAAAAATTAGTTTCAGAAACTTAACACAACTCGTTTTGATCTAAGAAACGGACCTCGGCTGGAGCGAAAGCCAGGTTGTACTATCTGTATCGTGAGTCAAGACTTCAATGCCTCACGTGGAGCGACCTATGTCCGTGCTGTTTTGACAACACTCAACGCATACAAAGGGATGCAGGATATCTTTTTTTTACCCTGAAGTAGGGCGCACGTCTAACCATAAATGCTCAGTGCAATTGATAACACGCAAACGCTCTACTGCTCCAAGGTCGCATGTTTTCCGGTGTCCCTTTTGAGCCATTGGATATGTCTGGGAGATTCTTTCAACATCAATCA